GTGGGTGGGGGTGGCGCAGGAGGGCCAGGGGCCAGCCCAGTCTCTACGACCAGTGACTGTTCCGTGTGTCCTCTCCCGACAGATCACACAGCTGAAAATCGAGAACAACCCTTTTGCCAAGGGGTTTCGGGGCAGTGATGACAGTGACCTGCGTGTGGCCCGACTGCAGAGGTGGGACTGCCCCGGCTTGGGGGCAGGCAGGCGGGCAGACTGGGTTCAGGCGCATGGGCTCCGTAACCCTCAAAGTGTCTTCACTCTCTTCCTGTCTCCCTCTGACTGCGCCCCCCACCCCTCCAGCAAAGAATACCCCGTGATCTCCAAAAGCATCATGAGACAGAGGCTCGTGTCCACCCAGCTCTCGGCCAAGCCCGACGTCAGCCCCCTGCATGGCGCACACCAGGCTCTCCAGCACTACCAGTATGAGAATGGGGCGCACATGCAGTTTGCCACGGCAGAGCCCCAGGACCTCCCCCTCAACACCTTCCCAACCCAGAGGGACTCCAGTCTCTTCTATCACTGCCTGAAACGACGAGGTAGCGCTCTCCTGGCCCAGCAGTATTCGTGGGTCAGAGGAAGGGTGCAGCTGTCCTCACACACGCACGCATGCGCAGGCCCTGTGGCTCTGAGGTCACGGTTGGAGGGCCTCCGTGGGGCGGGCAGGTGACGCAGAGCCAGCTGGGCCTGGCCTTGAGGTGTGGGAGGATGCAGTGTTGCCAGCCAGAGGTTTTTAGACTAGGGTCGTCATGAGCAAAGCTACTGTATCAGCACAGGAGGGCCTGGAGTGGCGAGGCCAGATCTCCACAATATCCAGAGCTGCAAAGGCCTCGTCAGAGGGGAAGTGAGCTGTTGCCGGTGCAGAATAGGGGCCAGAAAAACGCAGCCAGAGCTGTCCCTGCTGGGTTCTCTCTGCACAAGAGGAGCCCTGAGCCAGGGGCCCAGAACACCGGGTATGAGGTACCAGGTCTCGAGTTCTCCACCTGTGAAGTAGGGATGATTAATGTTATTATGCCAGAGGACCTCACAGGACCGCTTAGATTCTCTTGGGAAAGAATTTGAGGACCTTTGTTTACAGTCCAGAATAATCTCTCAGCTCAGTGTCTAGGGACTAGCGAGCAGAGCTCCGAGTGTCCCCAGCACCAGTCCCAGGAGGACTGATGACCGAGGCGGGGGTTGGCAAGCCGTGGCCCTTACCAGACCCAGCCTGCTGCTTGTTTGCTTGGCCTCTGAGCCATATGAAGTGGTTTTTACATTTTTAAATAGCTGGCAGAAGCCAAAAGAAGACTATTTCATGATATTTGAACATTATATGAAAGGCGAACCTCCGTGTCCCAAGTTTTATTGTAACACAACCATGCACCTTACTTACCTATTGTCTATGACAGCTTTCTGGCGAAACCAGTGGAGTGGGATGGGCGGGGCAGGTGTAGTGTGGCCCATCAAGCCAAACACTTGGTATCTGGTGCTTTACTGAAAATGTTTGCCACTCCTGACCTAGAGTGACCCATCCCTTCCTAAGTTAAAGAGCTCAGGGCAGGGAGAAAGGAGGGGTTAATTGGGAGAGAGGATGGAGAGGAGGAATTGAATGAGGGCTGGAGGAGAGAGCAGGGTGAGACAGGGGCACCCGTCTCAGGGAAGATGCCTCAGAGGGGCGAGAAGAGGCGAGTGTAGGTCTTCAGATCCCCCCGGCTCTGCCCTGTGTGTGCAGACACGGCTCCCAGAATGGAGCCCCAGGGATGCCGGCCGGAGGAAGACAAGCCAGTAGACGGGTGCTCTCCAGCCCGCTGTGTAGGCTGCTGCCCAAGTCCTCAGGCCTGGGTTCTCCCTGCCTCCCAGGGGGGACCTGCCACTGCAGATCGTCACACCCCCGGGGTCGAGGATGAAAGACGCTCATAGGTGGTTTGGGGCAACGGATGTCATCTTGCCCCGATGACAACTCAAAGTACTTGAAAGTACAAGTGGCCTTTTATTGATTATCAGCTCCGTTTCTTAATTTCATAAAAGCTGTTCTTACGTTGAGGTCCGTAGTGGTCTGATGGGACTTCTTGGACACATGCAGGCTGTAGTTCCTCCTCGAAAAGCAGGGCCTGTGAGTAGCTTTACATTCTCACAAGAGCTGAGGAGAGAGGCGGACACTTTGTGGCTTTAATTTTCTGGTTAATTCAGACAGATGCGGCCTCTGGGTCTGGTCTGGCCTGGCAGTCGCCTCTACTTTCTTGGCTAGGGTGGGCCTGGCCTAAGCATGCAAGTCACATTAAGGCCTCTCACCATCCTTGAGAGTCAGGATGGCACAGGATCAAAGCCACATGCCACTGCTAAGCACACCACAGCGTCCAGAGAGGCAGTGTCCCCCCTGGCCTTTCAGCAGGGTCCACAGCTGACCACTTCTTGGCTGCCACCACCTTATAAAAGAGCTGTCGCTGATTAAAATGGTCCTGGCAACATGGGGCAGGGGTGGACCCCAAATGACAAGGGTAGGCTGTCCTGGCGTCCAGCCAGGGTGTTTTGGGCCCTGGGCTGGTGGCAATGGTTTTCTCTGAAAACCATTTCTTTGTCTTCCAGCAGATAGTGCCCGCCATCTGGACTTACCCTGCAAGCGATCCTATCTGGAAGCTCCCTCTGCTGTGGGCGAGGACCATTATTTCCGTTCTCCGCCTCCCTACGACCAGCCGATGCTCAGCCCTTCCTACTGCAGTGAGGTGACCCCGAGAGAGGCCTGTATGTACTCGGGTTCTGGGCCCGAGATCGCTGGGGTGTCCGGGGTGGATGAGTTGCCCCCACCCCCACTGAGCTGTAACATGTGGACGTCAGTCTCCCCGTACACCAGCTACAGCGTTCAGACAATGGAGACCGTACCTTACCAGCCCTTCCCCACGCACTTCACTGCCACCACCATGATGCCTCGCTTGCCGGCTATCTCTGCGCAGACCTCCCAGCCGCCAGGAAACACCCACTTCAGTGTCTACAACCAGCTCTCACAGTCTCAGGTCCGAGAGCGGGGCCCGGCCGCCTCTTTCCCGAGGGAGCGCGGCCTCCCCGCCGTGTGCGAGAGGAAGCCACCCTCGCCACACCTGAATGCTGCCAACGAGTTCCTGTACTCTCAGAGCTTCTCCTTGTCCCGGGAAGCTTCCTTGCAGTATCATTCAGGCATGGGGACTGTGGAGAACTGGACTGATGGATGACTCCCCTGTCTCAGCACAGCTCCGGGACCATGTGAACCCAGTACTGGCCTCTGTGGGTGGCCTGCACTACCAAGACACGGGGAAGGTATTTCAAAGGGTGGTGGTGGTGGTGCGTGGGTGCGTGTGTGTGTGCATGTGTGTGTGTGTGTGTGTGTGGAGAGCATTTATCTTCTGACCTATGACTGGTCACATCGAGGGAAAAACCTAGGAAATGATTCTGACTGCAGGACCTGGGTGCCTTGTTATCTGACATCTCAACATGCCCATGGGTGGGGTAGGAGTGGAGAGGTCAAATGAGTTATTTGAAGGTTTTCTAATATAATCTTTAATTTACTCAGGGGGCAGGTGATAGGTCTCCCCTACAGGGAGCATTGGGGGAAGAGTCTCCTCGCTGGGGTGGGAGGGTTCCGTGCACATCTTAGGGTCTTGATCTGTTGGCAAGGGGAGCTGAGGATCTTTTTGGGAGCTGAAGTCTCACAACTTGGGCTCCCGTGAAACCACCCGAGACATGGGCTCAGCTAAGCACAGGGACGCTGAGAAAGAGCCGCTGCTCACTTGGCGACCTGGAAGTGGGTCCGGGAGCTCTGAGCTCTGAGGATGACTCCAGAGAAGGTCCTATCTGTGTTCACCTGACAGTATTAAAAATTTTTTTTTTCTTCGAGAGGAGGGAAAATACAACCCATAGGATCTCTGTAATCTAGATTTTTTCACAAAATGCAAAGCCCGCCCCTTTCACGCACGACATGCAGTCTCTTACTCCGCCTGGTGGGGAAGGCCTGGCGGCCTCCTCTGCACCACCTGCTCCCCACGACTGGCAACTCCGAAGCGCACTTCACTGGCCTCATCCCCGGGAGATCACACTGGAGCTGCTGTCGGCATCGCCAGCCTGTTCTGCTTCCAGAAAATCCACGCCCCTGGAGCAAGAAAGCCCAGCAGAAGTAAAAATGAGAATTGGGAAAACATTCATTTCTTCCAGTAAATTCAGCCAGTGAGCACAGAGGAGCAAGGATAATTCTTGCGCCGTGAGGTGGATCGTGCAGTCTTCAGCCCAGCTCTTTAGCCTTGAACGTCACCAGACCATCTGCGTGGTTGGTGTGAACTCTGTAATCAAATTTGGGAAATCACTAAACTCTTTGCATGCAGAATAGCTATTTATATATTAAATAAATAAATAAAGAAATAAAATATAAATATAAATATATATATATCACAAATGCAGGCCACATGTCAAATTCAGCTTTGCTTTTTTACAAATGAATAAACTTAAAATTAAAATGAACATTGGAGGGGGTATTTGGAAAGACATCTATTTAAATGACATCTATTTTATTACACATTTGTTGTTAAGAATTAAGAGTGGTTTAGATAAAACCTAAATATATATATATATAAATATATATAAACACACACATTACAGATTAAACTTTATTAGAAGACACATTAGCTAAAGGGGATATGGCGCTTCAAGTGTTTTGTTATATATATAGCATGGCCATTTTATTTTACATATGGGAACATAAAGCCATTTTACAACTGTGCAGTGTGTGGATGCTCTTTACTGTTGACTTCTTCGTTCTTGGTTCAGCCAGTAATCTGTCACCTTTTAGTCACCAACACATAACCTGCTGATTTGCGGGAAGGTGGTCCTGCAATTAGGGAGTTCTTGAGGGGATTTTTACAGGTGCTTAAGAAACAAAACTAAGGAGCAGAGCCTGGGGCTTGCTTCCTGGAGCAGCCGAGGTGGGAGCTCACCAGCCACCTGCACCCAGGGAGAAGTAGCCCAGGCCTGGCAGAACCTGCCACGTGCCCACTCTGCCAGATCCTTGAACTTTGGCTTCAGGATGGAGAGGGAGAAAAGAGAGGCCGTGTGGTCCAGGCTCACCAACTTGAGAGGGAAGGAAGCTGGTACAGGAAGGTGCTGCTGGGCCCCCTCTTTACAACCTTCACCTCTGGCCCACCTCTGGGGCGCCTTTCCCAGAGCTGCTCGGCCATCCTCATCAAAACCTGAGATTCCCTGATGAGTGAAAACTCAACCGTATCTCTTGTTTCCCTCGAGTGTTCCCTTGCGGCTCTGGGGCTGCCTCTGGCTGGACTTCTTGGAGAAGAGGCCAAGCTTTCTTCTCTTGGCTGTTGGCTCCCTCCTTGGGCTTGTGGGGATCAGAGAAAAAAACTTAACTGCGCTCAGCTCAGGAGCAGGGGAGGGAAGTCTTCCTAACTCACACCTGCTCTGCTCTCTCCTTTCTGGGTGAAGGTGTGAAGGCATTTGTGGGTACCCCACACATTCTACAACCCCAGGCAGAGGGCTGGGAGCTAGACATGGGTTCCCCAGCTCACTGGAGATGCCTAGCTTGCTGAGTCTCCGTAGAGAAAGCTTCCTGTGGACATTCTGGAAAGCATGAGGTCTTTGGGCTTCCCCACCTGGGCATGGCTACAGAAGGGTCTGCAGTGGGATTTGTGGAACTTTCCTGCCCTCTGAATCAACAAGTCAATAAAAAGGGGGCACATGGGATACCCTGGAACAAAGGGCACCATTCAGTAGCGCCAACAGGTCATACATCATGGGGCCAGAAATCTGCCACATGAAAAGTGTTTCTGCTTCTGCTGTGCCTTGAGTGGGTGGGGGAAAGCAAGGAACTGCCTATAGCTGCGAGCCTACAGGCAGGCAGCCCCCAGACGCTGCTCTCCAGCCCAAGGCCAGGCCCCTGGGGGAAGCTGAGCTCAGCCACAGCTCAGCCACCCAACTGCCCTGCAACAGAAGGGCCTAGAATAACAGAGGGGAGAAGGGAAAGAAGCTGGGGCTGGCTGACAAATTGTTAAAAAGCCAAACCAACTTCCAGTCTCAGCTGGGCCTCGGGGGGTCAAGAGGCCTTGGCGCGCCCCACTAATGGAGCCTGCTCAAGGAGTAGCAGCCCCAGCCTTGCAGTGTCTTATCTTACAACATAAAATTAAAACCCACTTAAAAGGCCGGAGGGCATGTTAACATTCCCCCTGCTGTCTAATTGAAGTAGTTCCCAGTACACAGGATTTCACTTGAAAGATGTCTCCCTCCAAACCCCAGTTCTGCTTGGCGGGCAGGGGGAGGTGGGGGCGGGGGGAGAGGGGAGGAGACTCAGGCTGGAAAAGCACCCGTTCTGCGTGCCACCCCTACCCTGGGGGCAGGTGGCGACAGCAAGGGTTAGGCCGGCCTGGGGGATTTTTTTGTATTTTACAGAAATATACACATTCATTAGCAGCTCTGTCAGCAGAGGCCAGAACCCTGACACGAATCCCTGGTAATGACTCAAATATGAGGATCCCTGCCCCCACCCAAACCTGGCGGTTCCAGAGACCAAGAGATTTCCAGTCCATCTCCCCCCCCACCCCCCCCACCCCCATGCCCTCCTCCCTCCTATGCAAATATATTACAGGTCTCCCAGGCATCCGGAATCAATCAGGGGCATCCTGTCAAGGTGATGAACTTGCACTGGCCATCCCGAGTAATGGGAACCAGTCAGTCTGAAGCTGGCCGAGACTGAAAGCCAAGGTGACAGCTATTAAGCAATTGTGTGCAGAACAAAATGGCAAAGGGGCGGGTAATCAATTCAATTTCGGTGGGTTCAACCCAAGCCACTGCAGCTGCTGTCGCAACTGATTAGCGAGGGCCTGGCTGGAGCTTTCAATGCGAGCCCATCACAGATCAGAAACAGGCCCAGGATGAAAAGGGAATGAACTGTCTCCTGAGAAGTAGGCGATGAAGGACTCTGTTTTATGTGACTGTGTTCTTCCCTCTTTCCTTGAAGAAGGAGTAGAAAAAAAGTCAGCAGTTTGGAGATTAGATAGTTTTCTTTTCAGCCATTTATCATTATGAAGGAAAGTAGACAGGGCGGGGGCAGAAAAATCTCCAGTGGGATTTCTGCAAAGTCTCACTAAGAAGGACCAGGCTTACACTTTGCGGCTCCAGCAGCTCCTGCTTATTACCACAGCCTGCCGGAGTCTGCAGAACATCCAGCATCCCTCTTCTCTAACAAGGGCAAGCAGGTCCCAGGGCTCTGAGACACACAGAAATTCTCCTGCAGAAACCCCAAATCACCAAATGGTATGATTTGTGAAAATGAAAGCCTGAGTCGGAATACCAGGGAGTGGCGCGAAACGGGGCAAGAGAAGACAGAGAGAGTGGTGCAAAGTTCCAGCAGGTTAGGCCTCAGGGTGCCCCCCCCATTTTACCTGGGCCAGGCCAGGGCAAGGAGGGCCCAGCTGTGCCTGTCTGTGGTCAGCACGGACCCCAGGCTGAGGAAAGACGCTGGCAGCCTGCTTGAAAGTTCTAGTCGTGTGTTTGGTTCCTCCACGTGGCTGCAGCAGGCAGAGAGAGACGCACAAGCACAAAAGCCACGAAAGACAGACAGCGTCGGGGCTGGGAAGGACGGGAGAGGCTGCGAGCGGATGTAGCGCCAGCAGGGAGAGGGAGGCCTGTCGTGGAGCCCAGGATGGGGAATAAGCATCTGGGGCAGGACTCTGGCCCAGGGTGGGGCTGGTGGTGAGGACCGAAGGGCTGAAAATGAGGCCATGGGTGTGGTGGTCAGGTCTTTTCTAAGAATTACCAATAGATAATCACTATGCGCAAACTAATCTCACTAATAATCTAATGGCAAATAAAGTGGTAAAATTCCACTTTCATTTTACAAAGGAAGAAACATTAAAGCAAAGATAGGGGAGTCTCAGTTGTTGCTGTAAGAGCACGTTTGTGAAAGTGTTTCTTGGTAGGGGCAGCAGCTTGGTATCAGGGACAAAGACTCTGAAAGTGTCCATATCCTAAAGAAACTAACCAGAAACATGGACGTGGCTTAATGCTCTATAATGTTCATCGTGGTGCTATTTCTAATTGGCAAGAAAGTAAATTACGGTTAAGTAAATCAAGGTATTCTACAACATGATGTGGTCAGTGACATGTTTACAAAGTACAGTTAATGGTGAGGAACTGATTTAAAACTAAGTGAGAAGAGAGGATCCTAATGTAATGTGTC